AACTAACCAGGCTTGTTGAGTAAAATAGAATAAATGTTTTCTTGGGCGAAGATTTCACTCATCATTTTGTCCGTCCATATCATGAGAGACTTTATTATATATATTGGCGCCTTACAGTGCATACTGCATACTCTGTGATTTCAACCTATGCTCTGAGTAGATTGTTCATGTTTTATTGCATGAGAACTTACCGTTTCTCATTATAACATGTAGAATTCTACTCTTGAGCTCCTCTCCCCTTTTATTGGGTAATGGGTGGTAGAAGATAGCAGAATAATAGGGTTAGAATTGCCAAATTATATATGACCTAGAGAGGATAAATTACTTCTGCTTTTTTTCCCCTCCAGGTATTTAAGGAGTAGGGTGAACATGTCTGACAGGTTGTCTGAGTCTGGAACCTTAGCTACAAATTCTGCTTTTAGGTGATTCATGGAAGTAGTAAATTGGTGTAGGCTGTTAGCTATTATAAAACAGGGAAAGGAGGTTATGAGATTTTTGGTTCCATTATATTTTTGGCCCCTAGAAAATTGTATTCTATTTTACATATTTGTCATTAAAAATTCTAAAAAATAGAATATCAAGACCTGTCCCATTTTATCTTTTCCCATTATTTTCTTCAACATTTCAAAAAAATTTTTTTTTCAAAGAAGAGTGAGAAAATGTTGTTCATTATCACTGTTTTGTAGTTATTGAAGCTACTCAGTGTTTCAAAGATTGTTGCTGGGAGGCCTAAATCTGTGAGTGAGAGTAACCTGGCACAGAATTAGAATTTACTGTCATATAAACTAAGCTCAGCAGATTCAACTACTTTATCATCTTCCTTCTTTGTATCAACAGATTTAAAAGCTGTCTGGATTTTAGTTACTTGAAGATTGAATTTTTGAAGTATATAAAGTATTTGTGTTTTATCTCCTAGTTTAATCCCCCATTAGGTTTTCTGTCCTGTTGTCCTTTTGCCCAGTTGTATCCTAAGGGGCTCATAGGTAAACGAAAGTATTTTACCCCTCCTCTTACTTTTCAAGAGGGAAAATTGTCAGAAGGATAGTCAAGTACCAGAAATACTCATTTTTGTCTTTTGTTTGTTCACTTTGCACTTCACACCATATACACTTTTTTGGTACTCCTTCCCATGACAGACTTAACTGGTCCATTAATAGCAGTTCTGGGCAAGCATGCCTACCTAGTAACATGCAGACTCCCGTCAGTGCTGGCTACACTTGGCCATGTGCCGTTAGTTCATGACATGAGAGCAGCTAACTGCTGGTGAGAGATAAAAAGGAAATGGGCAGTTGAAGTGATGTGGCTGGTTTTAGTGTTAAATGGGCCTGTGTGTTTGGATGTTGATGTAGCATGTAGAGATCTCTAAAGACCGACTGCTGGGATGCAGGCATGGGAATTCAAATCAGTGTTTCCTTTGTGATTAAAACTCAGGTGCACAGATTTTTAGAAGTCTCACTTGAAAACCTCTCAAAGATTTAATTTTGGATTTTGTTCCTCTACATCAGAGTTTTGAGGCTTGTCATTTAGTGCATTTCTTTGCTTTAACATGTGTTAATCCAGTTGGATTTGCTGCTGTGTGTGCCCAAGAATATACATACACAAACTCACACATATTTTATTAGTTTTCCCTTGTTTATGATTTCTATATATCATGCAGTGGATGTATCTTGTCAAAGACACTTTCTTGTCCATTAAGCTTACATTTATTAAATGAGAATAGTTGGGACAATAATGCAGTCTGACAATATTTTGAAAGTAAGGCCGGCGTGGTGGCCCACGCCTGTAATCTCAGCATTCTGACAGACCAAGGAGGGGATCAGTTGAGGCCAGGAGTTTGAGATCAGCCTGGCCAACATGGTAAAACCATCTCTACTAAAAAATACAAAAATTAGCTGGGCATGGTGGTGCACACCTGTAATCCCAACTACTCAGGAGACTGAGGCATGAGAATTGCTTGCACTCAGGAGGCAGAGGTTGCAGTGAGCAGAGATCATGCCACTGCACTCCAGCCTGGGCAACAGAATGAGAGTCTATCTTGAAAGAAAGAAAGTGGTCACCCAGTTTGCAGAATGATAAAGTCAGTAAAAGTTACCTACGTATATAGGTTTGAAAAGTTCTACCATTCTCAGCTTCATTTACATATACAGGTATGGTATGTCTCTATTCCGCTGAATACTGCTGTTTATTTCAAGAGCACCACACTGTTAGTTCATAGTGAAATACTCTGCAAAGTTTCCAACATGTTTATTTGAAAGTCGAATTAAATGATAACGAGAGAAAATTTCCTGAACTCTGTAATCTTCCTTTACACTGTCAGTATGTGCTTGATTGAATTAAGGAATTTTATTTGTTTTTACTTTTCCTAAAAGTTCCAAAATTATTTTTCTCCTAGGAAGATGAGAATGTGTCTGCTGCTCCAGATCTTCCAAGTCAACATTTACGTGGGCATGGGACAGGCTTTTGCTTTGATTCCAGGTAGTTTTTTTCTTTTCCTTTGTAGAATTTGGGCTATATAGGCTAGTGGTTCTCAAAGGGTGGTCCCTGGGAACTTGTTAGAAATGCACCTATAGGGCGTGGTCTGACTGAACCAGAAACACCAGGCATAGGGCCCAGCAATGTGTGTTTTAATGTGTCCTCCAACTGATTTTGGTGCATATAGTCATTTGAGAACCAGTGCCATAAAAACTTGTAGCTATTAAACCAAACACACTGGTGGGAAGTTATGAGTTGTATTTATTCTTACAGTCTTATAAAAGGCCTTTTCTTTTCTTTTAAACTGGGAAGAAATCTTGGTACTAAGCTTAGTTTCACATAATTGTGATTGGATTTGGGAGGTTTTAAGGGGAAAAAAAGGTTTGTTAATCTACTTGTAAAACTAAATTTAGAGGCTCTATAAATGGGTTACACAATTGTCTATAGCAAGCATTTAGAAGCAGAGAAAGAGGTTTCTGGAGTAAAGACTTTTAAGGTAGGTTGTTTAGTATTATAATCAGCTAACTAGGTAAATGGAACCTTGTCATATATGGACAAGTCATTGTTATTCTGCATTTATTAGAAATATGTAATTCTTTCCTTTTTCTTTAAGCTTTGATGTTCACAAGAAGTGTCCCCTCTGTGAGTTAATGTTCCCTCCCAACTATGATCAGAGCAAATTTGAAGAACATGTTGAAAGTCACTGGAAGGTATGCCCAATGTGCAGCGAGCAGTTCCCTCCTGACTATGACCAGCAGGTGTTTGAAAGGCATGTGCAGACCCATTTTGATCAGAATGTTCTAAATTTTGACTAGTTACTTTTTATTATGAGTTAATACAGTTTAGTGGTTAAAAATAATCACCTCAAATAGACCACTGAGAAACCATGGAGTGATGATTTTCTTGCACCCTCTTGTACTTTCTGACCAAGAGCTACTTTGAGTTTGGTGTTACTAGGATCAGGGTCAGTCTTTGACTTATCAATACATTTTAATCTCTGTTAATCTTACCTGCTTGAAAAAAAGTTCTTATGCATTCATAACTTTATTTATTCCCTAGTTTGCAGAATTGTCTGAATAAAGAATACAAGGATTATTTGAATGTTACTGCACTGAAAAATGTGTATGTATAGTGTGCTAGATTATTTAGCAGAATATTTACAAGTTTCTGTTGACCTTGTTGATTGAGCATGACTACTAAATATTATGTAATAAAAAGCATTTATCATAACGGTCTTGTGAAGTAGTTCTTTGAATATGGATACCTCTATAATTTAGCCCATTAAATGATAGGTTTTTAATTTTTAGAAATGGAGCTGCATGTAGACTGAGATCACATGCTTTTATATGAAATGTTAGTTTTAGCAATTAACAGGAGGTATATTTTGCTAATTTTATGACAAAATTTCAGAATAACCCAAATATTTTTAAACTATCTAGAAATTGTATGTATATATCTAATAGGAAAATGGAAAAACAGATGTCAGTATAATTGTTTTCATATTAAATAATCTCATAACAGGGGTGTTTGTGGCAAAAAATTACAGAATATGTATCAGTATCTTTTTAAAATTTTCCTGATGAGAATATAAATTTGAAATATTCTCAGTAAGTGATTAAAAGTACACTGCATAAACCCAGATCAAAGTAATGTGTTTCTTTGGTTATGTCTGCTGTATAGAACTCTCACTAACAGTAAAGAGGACACGTTTTCTGAGATCTGTAATTTCGTTGTCAAATTTATTTGTGAAAGTTTTTCATCAACCTAGCATCTTAAACATCTTTTTTTGGTTTGGGCCTTTAAAATACTTCTGAACTGTATTCTCTTTCCCTTCTATAATGTGCATATGAATAATTTAAAGTACCAACTTTTGATTTTACCACTTTTGTAGTTATCAATATAGTTTACATTTGTTCTGAGTGAACTAGTTATTGAAGATGTTAACCTAATATTTCGACTTGGTGGCATTCTGGGTTGCTATATGTGAACTGTAGCATATTACATCATTTGTATTTGTTTGTGGAAGCAGAGTTTATGTATTGTTAGTATCCTTTAAAAAGGTATTTTCGTCTAGGGCAAACCAGTATTAGGCATTCAGATGCCAGCTGTTAGGACACAGTAGTCCTAGGAAGCAGTAGCTTTGGAGATTCGAAGTTTCAGCTTCCTGATAGGTTGTATGACAAGCAGAATATACTTAGGTACAATATGTTCAACAGTAGGAGCATTTTTGTTGCAGGTAATAATTATGGACCATGTTAATCCAAAAGTATCCTTTGAATATTCCAGTAGTAGATGCTGTTCATCCTTACTAGCCTAGAACTTATTTAAAAATAGTTACTGGGTCCCAGTTTAAGTAATTTGTGATTGATAGAAAAGTAATACAGCCTAATCTAACCAAAAATTTAAAGGAATAAAGTCTACATGCATCACCTGAACAGCCTAAGATAGAATGAGGAACTGAATGGATATATTAATTTCCACTTGATACTGGATTTCATAATGGACACTAAGGAAAATAAAGAGCCATATTTATTTTTGGGTCAGAGGCAGTTTATTTTAAATGTGATTTCATTTACATTTATAAGCAGCTTTTCTTGACAGGAATTTTGATTAAGTTGCCTTCAATTCTAATACAAACCTCTGTCGCTTTCAGACTTAATGTGCTCTGTTCCCAACAAAACATATGAAAATATAATTTAAAGCACAGTTTTCACAGACACAGTACAATACATTCACTATACACAGTATAACAAAATATTCCCATCCTTACCTGTTTAGTAATACTGTCACAATGAATAAGTAAATAGAAATTGGAATTTGTTTTATCATTGAAAGAAATTTAACATGCACAATGACTATTTTATGACTGTTTAGCTGTTAAACTACTGATCCAGCCTGCAGTTCTTTGCACTAGAAGGAGCAAAGCTAAATAATAATTGCTGGCCTAAAAATTGTTTTTTGGTCAATTGTAGGTAGATATGAAATAGCCAAGTAGGGCCTTCTTATGCACCAACTAGTTGCTTCTCATGTCGTCTGGATCACCCTTTTAAACAGGATAACACTGTATATTCAGGACCAAGACCATGCTTCAGAGCTGAGGAAATTTTAAGAGGGCAGTGTCTTTAAAAATACTTTAAAATCCCTCATTATGAGGGATTCAGAACTTACGAATTTAGAGGTTTACTCATCTGGCTAGCAGAATTGTCATCCTTTCAAAACATCTGAAAATTGAGGAGGGACCCCCTGCTTCCTAGCTACATGTGACGTAAGATTTTTCATCAGATGGGAATATGGGAAGATAATTTTTTTATGAGCAATCTGAGTTTGTTTTATGGGCAGTTAGCTATCTCAAAGCATTTTTTTATTGCATACTTAGGCAATTGGTAAACTCTCATGTTTAAGGAATAGCACTTGGGAGAAAAGAACACTCAAGGCATGATGGTATGTCGGTGAGGAAAAACTTCAGGAATGGTCCAGATGTAGGTTACTCTAACGGGTCGTATTAGTCATGCTTTTCTTTGACCACCTGCTGCAAGAAGCACTTAATTGTCAATAAGGCTCATTTTCATATTTCAGCAAAGTGTTTATAAAGCTAAACAGACATTTCCTATGAGAATGCAGACTCTACAATGTGATGAGAAAAGTGCCTTTTAAGAAAAGTCTCAAAAATGATGAGCATGAAGAAGAGGCAATAGGAGTCTTAACAAAAGTGTTCCTCTTTGAAACATGCTTAGAATTTTAGTTCTGATTTGCAACCCACAGGACTGGTAGGGTAGTGGTTGCAAGAATTGGCAACACATAACCATCATTAAATTGTTGGCAATAGAGAACTACAAAGTGCTTTAAAACTTCATCTGAAGATGAAGATATAACTAAATTCCACACACACAAAATTTGCACTTAAGTATTTCAAAGTGTTTCCTAACAGATTTCAAGGAAAAGTATTTCACTAAATTGGTTTCTTGGTCCGCAGATATCAAGAGGCATAAATTGAATCTCTTGCACCCAGCAGGCACTCAATGAATGTGTGGTTAATGAATGAATGAACTGAATAAGACTATTTTGTACAAAATGCCATTTATAACACTAAAATGACTAGTAAGTCAGATGGCAAGATTTTCAGCTTTTTAAAGGGCAAAAGATTTGCAAGATAATATAAAACACAGAAAGCACACCTTTTATGTATGTTATTTAAATATGAAAATATTTTTAGCATATTATGTTAAACATTCTTATTTATATTTCCATTACCTAAAGTCTTTCTACTCACAAATACTAACTCCATTATGTAAGGCATGGTAACCAGTTTGATAATGAAGGTATTATTTTGGTTTTGAACATATGTGAGTTGATGTGTCGAAAACTTCAATCACATTACAATCTTGAAAAAAAATCTCAGTGCCAGCCCCTCCTCCCCCCAGTTGATTTCACTGCAATACAATTCAACAATATGCCACATGCCCTCAATTTTATTTTGTTTTGGGGGAAATGTGCTGAAGAACCTAGAGCTTTTTTGTTTAGCACCTTATATCAAAGTAATGAAAATGGGTATGATGATTACATGTGCAAATGTACAAAATCATTAACTCTACAAAGATACATCATTCCAAAATTACAGAAAAAATTTAAAGCATGCATTTAATTCTTTTTCTTTAAAGGGTTGCTGAATGCTTCCCCTGAAAAAAGGTGGCTGTTTTCAAAATCAGCAACTGCTGGTGAGGATTTCTTGGCACAGTTATGACCAGCATGTTATTGCTGCATCTTCCTGATAATCTCAGCCGACACCGGGGGATGGAAATTGATTGTGTGGTGCCGCAGGCCCTGAGCTGTCTTGTAACTCTTCCCACAGCGACATTTGAATGGTTTGCGGACACGAATCTGTGTTCTGTGACCATTCTTAGCGTGGTACTTTATGCCATTCACATTCTGTGGAGAATACAAAAATATTTCTTATTAGATGGAATCACAGAATGTCAAACTTAGGAAACCTCAATTTGGATCTGGATTGTAGTTCCTGGACGGCAGCGGTTCAGAGCGCAGGCTTTTGCAAGGATTCCAGTTGTGTGCTGATCATGGGCTGTACAGATGGTCACACACACAGCTGACTCGAAATTTCAGATGTGCCTCAATTACTCTGAAAATGGAAGTGCTGATTTCTTCCAATATTTAGGACTTACAGACTGTAGAAAGAAAATCCTCTGAATCTTTTTCACTCTAAAGAAAGTTAACAGTGAACAACCCTATACAAATCCTCAGCATGACCAACAAAATATCTTTCTAAAGAAAAAAAAAACATTAGGGCACATCTCAAAGTTTGACGTATATAAATTTTTGATTTGAAAACAATTTACATCTTGCTTCCAGACAACTGTGTTAACAGTTCCCTACTATGCCTTAACTAGAGCTTGTGTCAGTTTTCTGCTCTGCACTAAGCCAGTATCTCTGATGCCACTCTGGAAGCTACCTGTTGCCCAAAGCCTGTCCCCCTGCACACCTGTACATGTTTTAAGCACCTGTGGTTAGACTGGGCTTTACCTTAAGTATTGCATTCAATGAACTTTACAATTTTAAGGTTATTTATATAGTCATTAAGACTGGCCTTCTTAGCATCTGCATGTAAAGTTATCAAAATGCTTTCTGGATTTCTGTTAATCGGTTTTGCTAGCTCACCAGCATATTCTATGTAAGACTCCATTCCTAGATTCTCTCTACAGATTTAACAACCAGTAATCCTCATCCCGATTAAATGGGGAGGAGAGGTGCTCACGGGTATTAAGTAACTAGTGGAAGACTTAAGAACTGATGGCAGAGATGTGGTATTTGAGCATAGCTCTTAACTTCCAAGTCGGCTATTGCCAGATTAGAGAGTAAGGGAACACAGAAGAGACAGCTTGACACAAAAAGTTATTGAGCACAGATTTTAGGAGTGAGCTGTTTCCTATAATACTGCCTAAATCCAGTCCTGGTAGGCCCAGTCCCTTGCCCAGCTAAAGGAGTCCAACACAATATTGTTCCCACTCTTGATGGACTGCCTTTAAAGAGCTAACAGACAACAGCTCCCTGCTGTTGTCTCATGAATATCCAGCACAGTGCCTGGCACACTGTAGATGCTCAGGAACTCTGAGTGAATGAAATTAGAACAGCATTTCCCAAGTATATGCCTCACTAGTCTGGAAGAAGGGTTGCTACTAAATAGAAATGTTTGGTGATTACTGTTACATTAGAGATGTGCAGTGCACATTAATGTTTTTTTAAAAGTCCTTGGAAGAGAACTCTGCTGGACTGTGTTGAACCCAGGGGTGCCAAATAGCTAGCAGGTGGCTATGCTCAGAGTCTAAAGGTTGTCCAGTGATTTGAAGCAGAAGGACAAACACTCTGCCCTGAACACCTGGCTCTGGGCCTTCTGCACCTCAGTCTTGTCCTTCATACATCAATCCTTTCAAACATAAGGTACTTCCTGTCTTGTTAAAAGGCATGCTGGGGGTTTCAGAGCCTGCTGGGGCAGGAAAGGGGAGGGGAGTGGCAGTCACAGAATCAGATCCACTGAGATGTTTGACAGGTAGATATGCCCTGCCAGTCCCTGGCCATTCCATCCATCCCTGCTGAGACCCAGGCACAAGAGTGAAGAGGCCAATGTGTGTATCCAGCCCAAGGAGGCCTTCAGATGACTCTAGCCCCAGCTGATGTCTTAGAGCAACTGCGTGAGAGACCCCAGGTGAGAACCACCTTGTGAGCCAGGCAGCCCAGAGAACTGTGAAAGATAACTGTTTTAAGCTGTGTACTGTGTGTGTGTGTGTGTGTGCGCGCGCGCGTGCGTGAGAGTGAATATTAGTTTTGTGACCATTAGAAAAACACTTCCAACTTTAATATGGTGGAAAGTGTCCTGGCTTACAAATGCTAGGAATGTGCACCTGCCTGCTTAGTAATATCCCATTTATAGCTCAACAAATACTGGGCACCTAGCAGGTTCCTTTTCTGTGGCTGAAGGGCTACTAAAACATTTCATGTCCTTGTTTTCATGGGGAACTTGATGCAGGACACATCACTAAGAATCCAGCTACCTCTGTGCCCCAAACCATTCATACCTTGTCAGAAAATAGAGAAAATCAAAAACAAAAGCATTAACCAAGAAAAAGGCATAGCAACTCTAATGGTATCAGGGCTTAGCCATTCCAAAGAGGCCTGAATTTTTATAATAGGCTAAAAAAAAGATTTTAAGGCCAGAAATTGCTAAAACCACAGAAGCCAGTCCGATGTGAAGCCAGATCTGTCGTTCACCAAGAGAAGGACAAGCCAGAGCTAAGGGATTCCAGCAAGCGCCGTGGCCCATTCCCAGCTTGAATGTAAATATCATGTGTGTCTGGCATGAGACTGTGAGGAAAATACAGCCAACACCACACAGACATCAGCTTTATTACTCTGGAAAAGTCAGGAAAAACATTTAGAAACATAAGGTATTTCCAGGGTTGGTCAAGGAACCTGCTGTGCCATTACTCCTTTGTCTTTGCTGCTGTGATTAAAAATGTTCACAAGTGTCAGTGCGTTGCCCTTCTCACACATGTTAGTGCAAGGTCAGGTCAGACTCTATTGAAACATTTCCCCCATCCATCCATTCAGTTATAGGCCACGGGAACTTCCTCTTTTCAAGACCAGAGGAACTCTGAAAAGATCCACCAAAGTTTCTTATTGTATCCGTCCTGAAACAACTTTGATCTTTCCGAAATATTAATAACAAAAATTAATAATGGTAGGAAACCTGAAATGCTGAAATTGCTAAAATTCTTTGGTCTTAAAAAAATGGAATAAAACTTCAAAAGCTTATCATTCTGGGTACTTGACATCAATTGCCTTAATTAAAACTCATGTTTTGGATGACAGAATTGACTCTTAGAGAAAGTGAGTGACTTGGCCAAGATCACATGGCTGGTAAATGACAAAATTGGAACAGGAACCCAGGGATGTCTGATTCCATAGTCTGTATTTCCTCATATAGTCTCCTAAGGTGATAGGTACTCGTTAATTAGAACAACCAGCTGGTGATATTTGAAAAATCTTACCAGTTGGGAAGAAGGACTGGGATAACAGTCTGGAGAAAACTCTGAATTACAGTGATACTTTGACATGATGCTATTAAGGGAAGGGAAGGTAGGAGGTAGAAAGGAGGACTTAGGTGGGGGGTTCTACCATTAGGAACTACCTGTCCCCTCTGATGGTATAGTCAATAGACAGCAGGCGATTTAGAGGCTATTCCAAAAAGTCTACTCCAAATCAAATAATGAAGCCCAAGTCCAGATGCCAAGCTGGGCCTTTCCTGTATGGGATCTTTGTTGCCAGTACTCAGGCCTTCTTGTGTACAACATGTGACACTTGCCCTAGATAAGACCAGTGGTCAATTTCCCAGGGGCCTGGATGTTGTACACAATGGAGGAGATGAAGTTGCTTGGGGATCTGATGAGGAAGAAGAGTAAAAAATTGGGGGCCGGGTGCAGTGGCTCATGCCTATAATCCCAGCACTTTGGGGGTCCAAGGCAAGTGGATCACGAGGTCAGGAGTTCGAGACCAACCTGACCAACATGGTGAAACTCCATCTTTACTAAAAATACAAAAATTAGCAGGGTGTGGTGGTGCGCACCTGTAATCCCATCTCAAAAAAAAAAAAAAAACCTAAAACAAAGAAAAAAAAATCAAATTGGGGGTGGCAGTAGTGATAATGGTGGGGTTAAAAGTGAAGCCACTTTCCGCAGTGTAGACACCCCACCAGCCCCAGAAAGCAGAAGGGCCTAGGTGCATGCAGGTCCCTACTGGACACTGCATGGCAGCACACAGGGCTGTCCTTGCAAACTGGGTGGGGTCTTTAGGAAAAAAGAATTGTCTCTTCCCTCAGTCATTTAAGTAATATGTTCAGTTAGATAATTGCAGAAATTCAAAAAACATAGAAGAGCATAAAAAAGAACAGATACTATCATTAATATGTGACGTATTTCTTTTCACTATTTTTTCACACATACACACCCACCTCTTTTTTCCACTTATTTTTTGTTACTTTGTGAGCACTCCCTCCTCATTAACTGGTTTTCGGTGTTTGAAAATGGGACACTGTGTATTTGGGTCTGTCTGTGGCTGAAGCAATGTCCTCTATGCAGTAGAGGACTCCAGAGGAAGTCTGGGGGACAGGGGGTTACTGTTTTACATTTCTTAAAAAACAAAACAAAACAAAAAACCTTAAAAAATTCCTTTAATCCTCACCATTCTAACATAAAAATTATCATAGGGAAAAAAACCTCAAAGCACTTCAATCCATCTTTTAAAACTATCTGCATTATAAGGAAGGGAAGTCCCCTCTTTTTCCCTGAATTCAGGCTAGCATGAGCAGGGCAAGGGCGGTGGGCTCAGGTCTGGAACACCTCTGGGAAGAATCCAAAGAAAATAATCCTGCCACGGCTTTGGGGCTCCGGGGCTCGTTGGGGAGCATGCATTTCCCCGTTCCCCTGGGCTATGCCTTGATTCCTTTGCCCTGAGAACATCTGTCACATCTGAGATTTGTGCTGGGTGCTCAGGAAGGACAGTGAGCTATGAGGGGCACAGGGGCAGTATGGGAGATGGTGCCTCAATGCAGAAAAAGCATGTGGGTTGGTCCAAGGGTGAGAACTTTACCTATGAGGGGCGGAGAGGGCAATCAGTCTGGGAGGTTGGTGAGAGCTCCCAGAGGCGGCGGCACTGGAGCTGTGCCTGGAGAAACGAGCAGCGTTAAAATGAGAGATACTGATGGATAGAGGAAGGGAGGGGGACCGGAATATGCCATCCAAATATGACTCTTGGCCATAAGGACTGTTCAGCTGAAGGCGTTAAGCAGCAGCAGATGCAGGAAGGCTCCCTGCTCACGCTGTGTGTGTCTGAAAACAGGACACAAATTACAAAGACAGAAGATAGCCCTCCCACTTCTTCCAGGGAGATCAAAGGTTAACCAATGAAGAGAACTTTAGACACTTATTAGGCTGGAAGATGGTACCAGAAGAATCTACATTAACAAGCTAATACTCTAACAAGCCTTTGCTGCCTTTTTTCAATTTTCCTTCCACCAGTTGCTGCTCCCAGAGACTCAAAGTCCTTTTCCTTTGTACATTACTTCTCTAAAAATGTACTTACTGTTCTTTGTTGAAGATGATGTATAAGCTGTGAGACACCCCTTCCCTGGGTGTCCGTTTCCCATGTGTATATGAAATACACATGTTGATAAACTTGTTTTTCTTTTGCTAATCTCTCTTTTGTTAGAGAATCTGTTGTAACTAGAACTTTTGATGATTGAGGGAAACATTATTTTTTGTTTACTAAGGGCAGGAAGAGTCCTAGGCTGAGGAGTGGACGCGAGAAGGAAACGTGGAGACTTGGCTTTACTGTATGGTCCCTCTCCCGTTCCCCACCCGGCATGAGGTCTGGGAGTTTGGTACCTCATCTTCTCTCCACTCTGTAAATGCCAGTGACATGGTGAGGGCTGCTGATCCTGAGTCAGTATCCAGGAGACTTGGCTGGCAGACAGCTGCCAGCAGCAGCAAGGGAATAAGAAACGTCTGACTTGCCTTGGGAACGAATGAGATGGCAGCACTTCTGGATTCTGCCCGAGTCCACAGTACCCAGCTCATCCCACCCTCTTCTCTGCAGTTCCCAAGCCAGCAATGATGCAGTGAGTCAGATGACATACTAATGGCACTGGAGCACAGCGCTGCCTTCCAGCCAGTTACTTTGGGGCAGAAAGAGCCAGCTGCCAGCTTTGGGGAGTAGGAGCAGCTCATCTCCAGCGCCTGGTCGGAGGTGTGGTCACAAGCCTGCTGTGGCCCTGTGTATCATGACCTGGCATTCTGGCCCAGAAAAGGAAACGCACGCTTCCCTCGCGGGGATCAGGACCACCAACTGCCACCCATGTCACCTGCCAGTTAATGGGGCTGGAGCCGGCAGCCCCTTCAGCTCATGGCTCACTGAATTCTCAGTGGCCTTAGGTGGAGAGAGAACACTCAAGAAAGCCCCCACTAATCCAGACACAGACAACTGAGAAACTGCCAAAACCCAAGAGAAAGAAAAGCAAAAGAATAATAACAAAACAAATGAGGAGGAGGAGGAGGAGGAAAGGATTCGAATAAGAAGAATAAGAAAAGGGATGGAGCTAGAGGTGGGAGAGAGGGAATGCCTCCCCTGTACCCTCTGCCCAGAACCCAGGGCATAGCTTGTATTGCCTTTGTTTTTTTGGCGGGTCAGCATGAGTACAGGTCATTACTTGGTTCCCCCGATTTTTTTTTTTTTTTTTTTTGAGACGGAGTCTCCTCTGTCACCAGGCTGGAGTGCAGTGGTGCAATCTTGGCTCACTGCAAGCTTCGACTCCCTGGTTCAAATGATTCGCCTGCCTCAGACTCCCGAGTAGCTTGGGATTACAAGCATGTGCCACCACACCTGGCTAACTTTTGCATTTTAAGTAGAGACGGGGTTTCATCATGTTGTCCAGGATGGTCTCAATCTCTTGAGCTCGTGATCCACCCGCCTTGGTTTCCCAAAGTGTTGGGATTACAGGCATGAGCCATGGTGCCCGGCTGGCTCCCCCTTTTAACATGGCCGACGTGCAAGACACCCCCAGCCTGGTGCTCGGCTCTGGAGAGCTGGCAGCAGGACGGCAGTGGTAGGGAGGAGCAGCTGCAGGGAGACCAGCACAGGGAGGGGCCCCTCACAGCCTTCTCTGTAGAGATCAAGAAAGAAGGAAAAGGTCTTTTTCTGCAATGAAGCGCTGCCGTCTGGAAAAATAGGCTTGTCCAACAATCCCGTGGATGTTTTGTATCCCAAGGTAACCCCTGAGTGGCCCTTGCCTCCTCTCCCAGCTCGGCGCCTCTGACGTATGTACAGATGCATCCTGAGACCTGTTCTGACCCAAATGCAGGGCTCCTCCGGCAGCCCTCAGAGGCTTCCCACATCTGCAACCCGGGGAGTTGAATTCAGTTTAAACAGTGAGCATCTGGAGTTTGTGTGATGGGACTGTTATGGTACAGAGTAGGAGAAGCCTAAAAAATGCTAACTTTGTGACACATTTGTGTGCCATGCTTTTATATCAATAGCAGCTATGAAAAGTACTGAAATAGATTAGTGTTCAGAGACACGTATTTCAGAAGGGACAATATAAGTGCTTATGCTACCATATTTTTAAGCTTTAAAAAATCAGTCAATCTGCTATGCTGTGAGTGAATTAGCCTCTCATCAAGCATACCAGGTATATTTCTGATTTTTATCTTCTAGCTCACAGTTGGATGTTAAAGAGCTGCTAACACCGCATCGGGAAGCATTTTTAAAATGCCCTCTAGACCCATACTTGACTACTGTGGTATTTCTCGTCGTTTTGTTCCTGTTCCTTAACAGAAAATTTAGCACCCCCAGCTGCCCATGACGCCCAGTCAGGCCCTCAGAGACCTGGGTCAGCAGACAGGCGGCTGCAGTTGATGTGGGTGGTTTGGTGAGAAAAATATCAAAGACCTTTTTTCTCCTGATCCCCTTTCATGCCAGTGGGTGGAAGGAAGCAAGAACCTCCTCAGCTGGAAGCTAAAGACCCTACCACAGTCCCCAGCGGGCTCTGGGGGCCATCTGGGGCTTTTACAACTTCATCGTGGTTCCCCGTGAGCCACCTGTACGACCATCCATTGGGAAGGCATTTGGCAAATAAATAGGTTGACACATTTGATATTCTCTTCTGATGGGCCCCCCAATATGACATGAATTTGAAGACTATCAAAGACATGGTCCTACAAAAGATCCCTCTTGACTGCCAGGCCCCCACATCGGACCGCAGAGGGAAAAGTCCCGCAGCAGCCTTGGGCGAGCGCTGCCCTGAGGGCACCTGTGCGCACACAGGGGTGAGGCCCATACACTCTAATGCAAGAGGGGAGCGTCTCCCTCTATTTCATATGCTTTCTTTAAAATCAAGAAAGGGCTGCTGCCTTCCATGAAGCTTGCCCCGTTTCCGCGTGGTTATGCCAAGCACGCAGCACCTATTACCTTGTATCTCTTTTTACATCCAGGAACTGGGCAGGCAAAAGGCTTCTCTTCCCCTCCATTCATGCACATAGAGCTGAGGATGGCTTCAGAGCTGATGGCGCTCTCTGTGGTCCAGGACTCATCGCTGTCTGACTCCTCATAGTCCACCTCCTCCTCGTCATACTCGCTGCCTGCAGGACAAGAGCAGTGCACGGACCGTCAGGAGCGCTCATCTCCCCGCACGTTCACCCGGCCACCCCCAGGACAGGAGGCGTGGCAGTGGCAGGGCAGCAATGATGGCCCGTGGAGAGGGCTCTCTTGGGACCAAGGGACAGTAAACACGTTTATTCCCTTACACCTCAGGAGCAAGAGCCCTGCGTTCTCACCTAAGAGACCGAGGCAAGGGCTTCCCAACAATTCATGGCTAGGAGTTAGCGGAGCAAGAACATTAACTCAGTTCTATGGCAGCCCAGCTTGTGGCTGCAAAGGTGCAGGGAAGACTCGCTCTGGGCCCAAAAACAAAAACAAGCAACACTGACAGGCTCCTCACAATCCCTGTGCTAGTGCCTGACACCCCCAAATGAGCAGAACCTGTCCCCTCAGTTTCAGGCTTTATTGGCCTAGTAACTGCAAAAATCTCCGGGGTCAGGGTACGCTTTGGACTAATTAGGTATTTCCACTTCAGGAGGAATGAATTTCAGGTCTTTTTCTTTAGAGATTTGAACTGGGAAATGTGGAACTAAAAGAGGGTTACCCTCATGCTAGGGAGCAAGAGACATAGAAGGCCAGGAGCTCTGAGGGTAAATCGCCAGCAGCAGAATGCAGGGTGGCTCCTGGAAGATGAAGTGACCCCCCACACATGCAGTCCTAGGCACTGCATCTGCCCTTCAGCTCTTGTGACACTTCCCACTAGGGCTGACCCATCGCAGTCATGCAGCTCAGAAAGGAAGCAGGGATTCTCTTATATTCCTAAGGGTTAAGAGCTCTGCTAAGAATCGAATTAACATAGACGCTACTGACTTGTGTGCAAGACGGCAGGGATGGAGAACCGCTTCAACAAGCAGCCTCTTTTTGCTCTTTTTTAATGAGGCCCAAAGCCATTTATTTGGAGCTTTTGCACAATACAACCCTGAAGGACATAATTCTACAGATCATAAACAGTGTAAAATAATATGTTGACAAGTCCTAATGCATTTACAAGCCCTGTGGAATAAATAGGAATTATAGCACAACATTAATAAGAATTATATGGCAGCAATTACAGTTGTGAAATTCATCTCCCAGGTGTGAGGCTAAATTGCACCAGGGGCCTGCCTGGGTGCGTCAGGGGCTTACTCTGCTACATCAATTATTTCAACACCAAATATTGGCACTTTTATTGGGTTTCATTTTAATAGGCATTAATAAGATTGTTTGAAGAGCCAGTTGAGCCAGGAACAGGGACGCCGGCATCTGAGGCTAAAAGTTGAAAGGAGCCAGGAAGGAAGGAAGGGCCCTGAAGTTTACTGAGTGCCTATTACGTTTCAGGCTCATTGTATGCATTATCTCATTTAATCCTCCAGTAGTAACCCTATGAGGTGGGATTACTGTCACTTCTATACACACGAGCAACTGAGCCCCAGTGGGTTAAAACACTTAGGAATTCTCTGAGTTAGCCATTAAGGGACAGCGCTTTTTCCCACATTGCTTCCCAGCCCCCAATGCCAGGCTCTTCTGAGGGGTTCCCTGTTAATCTCCTTTGAGTTGCTGGCTCTTCACCATTTAATACTGAGATGGAATTCAAAGCAGTCTGTTTTGAAGTCTGTTAGAAATTCTCGGGTAGTGCAGAAAAAACAATTTGGCAAACACGAAGCTTTGGAGTTAAATGTGGATTTCAGTAAACTCCGCTGTACTTGGCCATAACTCCCTAAATAAAGAGAGACAGTTTGGAAATGGCCGTACCAGATGACACAGGGGTACCACTCTGTCACGTTGCTCGGGGTCTGTCCTGGAGCAAATCTTGAAATCTGTTTTTAAGTAGGGCCTTAAGACATTTTACTCTTAAACAAATGCCACATGCTGGCGTCCTTTAACTTGCTTGTTAGAAAACTATAAATGCCATTTCACAAAGCTCCTCCAGCGGGACTTCAGAAAGAATGACTAATTCACCCATCTAATTGGGCTAATTTGTTAACCTGAATACCAAGAACCATGAAACATTTAGAATGGGGGAGGGTAGGGCACCCCAGACCAACTGGGGGCTTAATGAAGCCAACAGAAGAGAAAACTTCAAAACTCCACTGGATCAAAAGCGATCAACTCCTGCGGGGTTGAAGCTGCCTATAGCGTCTCCCGGAAAGCCCATGGTATCCAACCCCAAGTGGGACAGGCAGGGGCCATACAGCTTACCCTGCAAATCAAAATGCTTCTGAGAGGGAAAGGTAGTGTGGGTTGACAGGTGTAAGTTGGGACTGTCCCAGGCAAGGTGACACACACGCCACTGACGAGCAGCTGACCACCAGGTCCTTGGGTGAAACTGGTCATCTCCCTCAGTTGGAGCAAGGGTCTTCTGTTTATACTTAATTTTATCCTCTAACAAAGAACATCGGCATAGACCTGGGTTCCTGCCTTTGCTTTCATTAGCTGAAGGACAAGCTACTCGGCTTTTTTTTTTTTTTTGAGACAGAGTTTTGCTCTTGTTGCCCTGGCTGGAGTGCAATGGCTTGATCTTGGCTCACTGCAACCTCTGCTTCCCAGGTTCAAGTGATTCTCTTGCCTCAGCCTCCCAAGCCGCTGGGATTACAGGCATGAGCCACCATGCCTGGCTAATTTTGTACTTTTCAGTAGAGACGGGGTTTCTCCATGTCGGTCGGGCTGGTCTCAAACTCCCGACCTCAGGTGATCCGCCTGCTTCGGCCTCCCAAAGTTTTGGGATTACAGGCGTGAGCCACCTCGCCCAGCTTGCCACTTGGCTTTTATTTCCTCTTTCATAAAATGGGCAGAAGTCTCTTCCTTGCAGGTTGAATTTAAGGATCAGAATGAGTGTGTATAGGATACCTGGAATAGGAGGACTTCCACAGAGTAAGTGCTGAAAACACGGAAGGCAGTGTAAGCAATGCCATCTTTGGAATCCTATTACATAGACAGATTCCATATAAAATAACTACTTTTAGAAAGGCCTGTGGTGAAACCAAACAAGAAGATAATTCCAAAAAGGGTTGGGAATCCCTACTGGAAAAAACGCAAGAGAGGCTCCAGGACCAGACAGGCCCTATCCCCTTTGGGCTCAGAGAAGGAGCAAAGCACACTCTGGATTCTACCTCCACGAGGCTGCAGAAGCCAAGAGCGAGTGTAGCTGGCGCTCCGAGTGCTGTGAGCCCAGGCGAGTGACGCCAACTCTTTGAGCTTCAAACTGCTCATCTGTAAAATGGGCGAACACCGGTACGCACCCACTAAGGCTGTTGTGAAGAATAACTGCGCTCCTGTTTTTAGGACTCTGGACGAGGCCTGGCCCATGGTAACCCTAAAGCAGTATTTGGTAAAGAAATAAACCAAGTGCTATGTGAGCTGTTTATCTCATCTGCTGTCCCCTTTTCAAACCAGGGGAACATACTGGGGTTCTACTACAGCTTTTCTTATCATACCCCAAATGCTCCCCTTTTATCAACCAGGAGAACTGTCTACAGGGCCAGGTGGCAGCCAGAGGGCCTGGGGCAGGCAGGGCAGGGGCTGCGGGACCTGAGTCCCAGGCGCTCAGATGTTGGCTCCCATTCGCACCCCAGGCAGGGCCTGTGGTGTCCTGCAGAAAACTTTTGAGGCCAAAACACAACTGCACGTAATCCTTTCAAACAGTTTAGAACTCTAGAAAGAGCTACCCGAAACGAAAGTCACCAAAGCCACTGGGCCAGCCTCTGTCCTCTGCTTTATCCATTTCCTCATGTCTTCCCACAAGAGGAAAATAAATCTCAACTTCATTTGTTCATCTTCAATTGCTGCTTCAGCCGCTGTCTCAACACTCACTGCAGAGTGAGCAAATCCCCAGCAGGCTCCAGACCTTTGCCAGGAAGTCCTTTCCCATTCCTGGAACACATGAGGTAGCAAAGCTGCCTCTCCTAGCAACACCCTCCCAAGCTTTTACTCCTATGTTCCAATTAATAAAAAATCATGAGCACTGCCCTGAGTATGAGTGTGGGAATATTTTTGTCATAAATGCCATATATTTACTACTATGTTACTGCAAAAACCACATATGCAAAGCAGCAAAAAGGGTGGGGATAAAATAAGTATAAATATCTTAATACATGTATGAATAGTTTTAGTAAATTTTTCATAAGCAGGTGTAAAGATTTAACACCTCCTTCTTGCACCTCACGTTGAGCCCACTGCTCTCCAGGCCAGCTGGGGCAGCAACGGGGCCTCAGTCCGCACTGGGACTCTCAGGGTGAAGTGAGGCTCAGGGCTACTCTAGGGGAAAATGAGGGGACCTTAAGGATGGACACGTTCATTTATTCACACGGCAAATTCGTATCCAGCACCTGTCTTGAGTACAGGTGGTGATCATTAGGTCCTGTCGAAACTCCACCCTGTAAGCCCAAAGGAGAGGTGCGTGCGCCCCACCAGGAGAATCATCAGGAAATGAGACCATGTTCTTGTTCCGTGCCTCACACCATCCCGAGACAACAAACGTTATTTCCACACAATTTTCAAAACGGACAAATATATACATACATATATATTTGTCCGTTTTGAAAAAAACATATATACAGATATATGTTTTTCCTCTGTGTAAAAGGGGAAAAACAACCGTGTGTGTGTATAGTTACAAGCAGATGGGGCAGGAAAGGTTTTTGGAGTGTGAAAGTCACAGAAAAAATCTACCCCTTTGGGGCCCAGAGTGGGCCTCTGGGGACAGGCTGGCAGGTGTCCTTAAGGCCACCCTCTTAGCAAGCTCTGCTGGGGAACCCTGGACTGGGGGGTCAGAATGTTAACAACTGGAAGGAACTTGCAGACCACTGAATCCCACGCTCATCAGAAGTTAGTGACTAAGGGTGGGCAGGGGGTGGCTTAACGGGTACAAAACAAATAGAATAAGACCTAGGACTTGCCAGCCCAACGGGGCTGAAGACTCCATTTTACATGATGTGATTATTACACACTGCAGACCTGTATCAAAACATCTCATGTACCCCATAAATATATACACCTACTATGT